CGTACCTTACGCCTAAGGTAAGACGTTATGACTTCAAGGTCCGTCACGTGACTGTTAGTGCATAACGCGGCTACCTTACGCGTGGCGCTAAAACTCCTTATTTCGTGTTTCAGAGCGCGTCAACTCAGGTCGTTGGTAGAGGCCTGCTTTCTCCGCGATTTTACCGGCCCGCGCTAGCCCACCCCTCTTTCTCTCGAGACGTACACTTCCAAGGCCAAGTTGTGAGCTCCTGGTTGCCGGTGACCGGCTGAAATCGCCTAGCGCTCCGTCGGTTGCCGATTACCGGCGGGCTCGAATCCGGAGCACTGCACCCCGAAAAACTCGACCGCCCCGTCGGAGTAATATGCTCAAGGCTAACTTCCACATAAAGGAATGAGTATTACTCGCGCAACTTTTTCTTAAACAATGGCCTTGCTTCCCCCTCTCTGGCACAATAAACAGATGACGTTGCAGTTCGCAGCGAGCGCTGATGGCAACATTCCAAATACATCTTCACTAGCGCGAAATAGAAACAATTTTCTTTTGAAACTTATATCCGTTATTTTCTCCAAAAATCTAAAGAAATGACCGAAGCAGGTAAAGATCTATCACAGGAGATCCCTCAAACTCCTGAGAAATGTAGAACGCAAATTATTGAGAACGTTGCGAAGACATGACTGATTCCCTGAAGATTAACATTGCTTCATAAAATCTAGTGGCCGATTCGTAACTAATACCCCCACTCTACCCACATTTCTTCAATCCATGGTTCAAGAAAAGTTGCGCGAGTAATACTGGTTGGTTTTTAATATACACAACCATTTTACAAAATTGTAATTATAAATGAAATACTTCGTATATTTTATATTTAATATTATTTACAACTCCAAAATACGACACCCTGACGCACTGGAGAAACTAAAGTGGAACTAGTAAACTTCTACCTGGGAATTAAAAGCGTATTCACGTGTTTCAGATAAATTTCGTTTTTCATGATGATTAGACACTGGATGTTTTGGAAGAGTGCCTGTTTTATTCTAATAAACATTTTAAAGATTGTTGGTATTTATCCAAGAATAATGAAAAATTAACAATTCTGACGAATAATTATTTTGGCTGTTTTCACGTAAAAAACTATCCGTGAATCTTCTTAGTCTGCTTCAATTTAACAAATTATTTACCAGTACACTCGTGTGTACTTACATAGAGAAACAGAAAGTGGTTGATTACCCAAAGAAATGGGAATTCCGCAGTCATAAAAAACAACATATTTCTCAAACGAATTTCGAAAAATTACCTGTGAACCACATGCCCCAGAACTCTGATACCGGACTCAGAGGGCACATCAAGGTCTTTCTCACAGCGACTCGGATCCCAGCGCCCCTTCAAGTCAATGTACTCGCGCACTGCCACGCGGTCGAGCGCAGCCTCCTTTGCCAGCTGCTTGCACAGGTTGCTGGACGCCCACATGGAGTCCTCGTCCTCTCCGAAAACAGAAAGGTTCTTCAACTTTTCGAGTTTTTCAAGCCTCTCGACGAGCTCTTCCTGGTCCGTCATGTCCAAAAGAGGGTAATTCGCGAAAATCATCGTGTTCCATTCATCCATCACCCTGTAAACACAAAAATTCCATTTCATTAAGTAAAACATGTTAACTATTTTAACTGCTGCGTTATTTGCTTTACATTACTTTATTACTTTATATTACCTTATTACATTACATTACATTACAAAATATGAATATGCAAGTATGTACTTTGGCATAACAGCTCTTTACAAGCGAAGACCTACCAGCAACGTTCCTGACGTGGGTTAAAGGGGTGTAGTTAGCACTTAGCCGTCCCTACGCTGTATTCGGATCTTCTCAACCTGAGAAGTGGGCTTTCTCATCGTCCCACAGTAACACTGGGACATTGCAAGGAAATCGCACAAGAAATTTGTGCTCTGACCGGGAAAGTGAGCAAGGTTGCGCCGTGGAAAGTGAGCAAGCTTACCAACGAGCCATCGAGGACATAAATGGTGATTCAGTCCCAGACTCGGTGATGAGAGTACATTATGTTAGTCATGATTGCAAAAGGAACTAGTGTAAACCCTATTCAAAATTTTGGAAACATTTTGTCATTGATCATATTTTGCAAAAAAAGTAGCCCCAATATATGATTAAATATTGTTCCCTGTTGCTATTATTGCGTACTTATCTAATGAATAGGAAGTGAGAGAAAAAAGTATTATGTGTTATTCAGGGTAGTATATCATACTTGCTACGCAGCCAAAATATTGCATTTTGACCTCGTGTAACAGAGGATCTACAAGTGTTCAAAATTGTCTTCTCTTACCGGAACACAGGATAAGCCTCTGCGCCGCACGGCCGCTGTGACGCCCATAACTTTGCCGGGTGGTACCTTAAGTTCTGCCGCCACGCTTTCAATGCGCCGAAGGTCATCGCGATCCTCGACTTGGGTAGCATAAACGCTGTCTTCTATTAACCCCTAGCTCCAAAAGTGTTGGAAGTATTTGAATGATAAAAATCAGGTACTGAACGACTTTTAAACGCTCGGGTAAGAAATGAGGACGTTTTAGACATCTTCAGAAAATAGCTCTTGAATTGCTGCACTACGTGTAACATGCGGATTTTTCTCGGCCCTCACAAGCAAATTTTACTCATTAATTGTGCCAGTTCTTGAGAAAAACGCTTCGTCTGAGCAAATAACGAAATTCCTGGTTTTCATGTATTTGCGCAGGAAATACCTGTATATGCGGCCATATAAGCTGCAGAAAGTCAACAGCCATGCTAGGTATGAGCTTAACTCAGGCGGTGTTCGGTTAATTAAGTAAGAGGGCAACAAAGCAAACAATAAAACATCCCAGTGAAAATATAAGAAAAAAACTATTTTAAAAGAATGAATAAGCAAAAAGAATTGAGTGCCTTTGTGGAACTTCGCCCTCGGTGATCTCGCGATACTCTGCCGAATGCAGGGCGAGGTCCACCAGCACGCTCACGACCTCTTCGCAAATCCTCAAGTTCTCTTCGGCCGCCTCCTTGCGCTGCTCGGCCAGCATCCACTTGTAGAAGCTGAGCGTCCGCTCCTTGAAGATGAGCTTCTCGGCGTTGTTGGCGAGCGGGGACGCCTCCTCGGGCGCCGACGCGGCCTTGACCGTCTCCAGCAGCTCCTTCATCACGTCCCGCGCCATCCAGAAGTTGTCCTCCACCACCACGCGCTCGCGCCGCACCTGCAGCAGCTTCGTCACCATCTGCTTCTCGAACTGCGACTGCTGCGCCAGCTTCTGCGCGATTTCTTCGTCGAAGAAGTCGGCCCGCGCCTGCAATCACGCAATCACGTTGGACACATCAATTCTATTAGTCCAAAGGCAGTTCTGGAATTACCTTTCTTCTCAGTGTCTCACTTCTGCCAACGCCATATCCATGAAATGAAATTGCTACCAAAATATCAGAGATCCTTATTTGGTATTCCGGAGCATTTATGAATTGAAAGACATGGCGCCGAAAATATAAACCACACCAGCCACAGTAAACCTACAGCTATTTGTAAATCTTAATATCTCAATTTTGGTGGAAGTATGACTCATCTTGTTACTGCTTCAAGCCCTCAAGAAATATGCACAAGCCATATGTAATAAGCTAAGCCACACTTTCGCCAAAAACAATATATGAAAACTTACAAATAGCGAGTAGTACGTGCTATCTTATTATCACCGAAGCTCTTCAATTAAATAATTGGATAATTCTACAAAATATGTGATTTGTTTATTTACTTCAGGCGATGAGCACAAGATTCAAGATTAGTTGTCAAGTGTCATTTAGCAGTACTTAACCTTTCAGGGCAATTAGAAATTATAGAACTGAGTGATTATATCGGAATATCAGAAATCTGTAATACTCGAACCTAGCCCAATAGTGGTGGTTTCGCATCTTGCGGTTATAGCCATAATTACGCCCCCTGCCTTAGCACGACAAGCTCTCCGAACAGTCTAGTGCCCCTAGATACAGAGAGTAGCGCAAAATTACGGTCCGCCATTTAATATCCTTTCCCCCGAAGTCCCGCCAGAGGGCATTCAGGAGTCAACGAGAAATGACAACAATCGAAAGCATTATGTAGAATTTCACGCCTTTTATAATTGGTTTTTGGTAGCTCGGTGGTTCTCAACACAAATACCGCACAGTTCAACTGTATGTAAAATAGCGGAATCGTTGAGGGCAAAGAAATGCGCTAGTCTCTCTAACTGGGGACTTTGCGAAGCGCCACCTTCTTGGCGAGCGTGAGCAGCTCGGTGGGCAGCAGGCGCTCCATGCGGCGCTGGTAGTCGGCGTGGCGGCGGGCGTGGCGGGCGCGCTGGCGGAGCTGTCGCGCGCCGAGGCGGGCGGCGTCCTCGGTCCCCGCCC